GGAAAAACTAAAGGTTGAAAACAGAAAACATGTATTTTGTTGTTATAAAAACAAGTTACTTGGGCAGGAACAGTCACACTAGTGCCCGCAGCAGATTTAGATACCAGGCTGGACATTCCAAACATAGAAATTGTCGTAAGCCAGTATTAGAACAACCAGCTCTCTCTTCCATCCTTGCTGTGACACCTGCTCCTTGGGAGGGTTGAGTCAGTACAGTTCAATAGTATATTACCATAATATCTGTTAATTGTGGACAAAAATAGGTCACATTTAAACAGTCAAGATATACTTGAAAATATTAGCATTACCTCTGGCAAGGCAGGGGGGAAACTGCTTGTTTCCCAGTTTGTGGGGGTCTGTTAAAGTTCTTTGTGGAGAGAAGGACAAAGGTTGACTAGAGGGCTCAGGTCAAGAGAACAGCAGATTTAGTGTCCTGGCTTCCATTTTCTACCATCTAACTCAGAAACAACAGAGGAAGGCAAGCAGCAGTCTACACACAGAGGCCTGTGTCCCAGCTACAAAGTTGCAGTACAATTCAGGATTCTGACCTGTGCAAATCGAAAAGTACTGTGTTAAACTCTGCATGGCAAGAACAAGTTGTTATGGTTAGATTTAGGGAAGCCAGCCTCCACGTGGGACCTCGGGGTCCTCCAGAAATATAGCTCATTCCCAGACTACAGAGATCAGTGCCCCTGGAGAACATGGATGCTTTGGAGGGTGGACTCTGTGGCATTGTGCCCTACTGAGGTCCCTGTCCTCCCCAGGCTTCACCCCCAAATCTCCAGGAGTTTCCCAACCTGGATCTGACAACTCTAGTTGGTTTTCATATGATGTTTGGCAATCCTAGTCCTAGGACCTGTTAATGCTCCAAGCAGCCTTGCATACAGACAGTACTGGGTTCAGTTTCTGCCATCTCCCACAAAAGGATTTGAGAACCATTCTCTATATGAGACTTGGGAGAGTAACTGCCATTCAGATCAGACAGTGTAATCAACCATTGATCTGAAGCAGTATAAGGAAGCTTCCCATGTTCATATATAGATGTATCCAGTGTTCCCTCTAAGCTGAGTTAGTGTGAGCTAGCTCACCGTTTTTTTGCCTCCAGCTCACACATTCTTGTCTTAGCTCAGGAAGGTTGGGGCTCCAGAGCACACTGATTTATGCAGTAGCCAAACCACTCACTCACAACTTTAATGCCAGTGGCTCACAAAGTAGAATTTTTGCTCACAAGACTCCACAGCTTAGAGGGAACATTGGATGTATCCCTGTATTATAGTAAGTTATAGCTATGATAAGAAAAGGCATTCAAGCCTCTCAAGTTGGAGAAGATGTGTACTTAAGGGAAATTGAAGTGTCTATTTTGTAGAATGGCTATTATATGAGGATGAACTATCGTTTCACTAATATAAAATTGCTTATCAGGATTCAAGCTTTTAAACCAGTTTTGACTGCCTTTGTTCCTTTCATTGTGTTTATTTTTTTTATTCAGCTGTCTTTAAAAAAATCCAGCTTTTACTTCCAATATATCATGTTCACTGGCATTTCTAGTGAAATTTGCCATATATCTAGCTGCCTAATTTACTCAAAAGATCTAGTGGATTGAAGTGACTGTTGTTTTCCCTGGATTCCATACAAATCAGGTTTTAAGATATGCTTGCCTTTCTCTGTTTCTCACGGAAATGGCGTTTATTTCCACCCCAACCCACTTAAAAGATATTTCCCCCCTTTTGAGTACAGTGAATATAAAGAAGGTATGAAAGATCCAGTGAGGAGCTTTAACATCTTGACATGATACTATTGTTTGTGATGTAAATAAGTGCCAAAGATGATACTGTGCAAATGCACAGATAAGAAAAGTTGACTTTTGGAAGTAAAGCGATAGCGGTGACTTTAATGATTTCGGATTGAAGGCAGAACAGATTGTTTTGATGCTGAAGGCTGTTGAGTTGGGGAGTTGGAAGGAGAATCTGTTTGGCTCAGAAATGAAAGACGGTATTCCTTATGTCACCATAATACAAAAATGCAATCACACAGTGGTGACATTGAGTTAAATCTGCTAGATTAAATAGTTTTGTGTGTGAATATAAATCTCTGTGTTATAAATAATATGTCCAGTACATTATGCTGTGTCCCCCCCCCTTTTCATTTCTTGTTCTACTGTGGGTCTTTAAAATAAACTCTAGAGTGAGATGCATTATTGTTGGCCTAACCTAAGATGCCCCTCTTGGTTTTCTATACCTATTTTTTTAATTAATGAATTGGTGCTGGTTTCACAAGGAGTTAATTATAAAGTGGTGCCATCACACACTATCTGTAGGCTGCTATTAGTAAAAATAAGTGTTTGTGGCTGAGAGAACAGCACCTTGCCTAAATTTGTCACAGAGAGGATAATAGATTAAAACAAGGAATTCTTTAAACCTCAATTCATATTCACAGCCATTTTGGGTCAAAATACCTATTATTCATGAGATCTATGATCAGATCCTCTCATCCCCCCTCCTTCACTTAAAAGCAACTGATGGGACAGGTGGTGTCTGAATTGGAGGAGCACTGAGTAAGGAGAGTTAAATCTTTTCCACTCACTGTTTGTGTGTTTGTCTATTTTTAATTTAGGTGTCCTCTTTTTCAACCTGCCTTTTGCCCTACTGTGGAAAAAGTTGTTCTTACCCAGGAGGACTAACAACAGTTGGGGGGCCATAGCTTTGATACAATTCAGAATATGAAAATGTAAGGAGATCTGATTGCGTGTGGTCATGATGACTCAGTGGGTAGAACATCTGTTTTCCATGCAGAAGATCTCTGGTTCAATCCCCGCATTATCCAGTTAAAAGGATGAGGTAATAAGTGATGTGAAAGATCTCCACCTGATAACTTCTGCCACTCAGAGCAAACATTACTGACCTTAATAGACCACTGGTCTGGGTTTTTTTTGGCTTTTTTGTTTTGTTTGTTTTTTGCTATCAAGTCGCACATGGTGCCCCTGTAGGGTTTTCAAGGCAAGAGATGTTCAAGGGTGTCTTGTCGTTGCCTGCCTCTGCGTAGTGACCCTGGTATTATTTGGTGATCTCCCACCCAAATGCTAACCAGGGATGACCCTGCTTAGCTTCTGAGATCTGATGAGATCTGGCTATCCTGGGTTATCCAGGTCAGGGAAGTGGTCTGTCTAGAGATGTAAAATTTCTAGAATTTTGAAGTCATAGGAGGGGATTTTTTTTTTTTTGTAATGGGGGGGGAAATGGAATGGTGGAAAGTGAAAAATATGCCATAGTTATTTTCTTATAAAGGATAAACTTAGTAGGCCACTATGTGAGTCCAGATCCTGGACTAGATGGACCACTTGTCTGATCCAGTGTGCATCTGTACAGCGTGTGTCTGTACAGTGCGGATCCCCATGGAGGTTTTTCTCTGTTTTGGCTTCTAGTGCAGCATTGTGTGTGGGGTAGTAAGATCATCCACATGATGTTGTTGTCTGATGTGCATTATTTCTCAAGCCTGGTTCTGAACAGAACACAGTCAAAGTGCATTAACAAGCATCTGGAGGAGGAGTACATTTTAGAAGTCATGCCCACAACAGCACCATGCTCCTTAGGTTATAAGGTGGTTCTGCATTCTGGAATGCCCAGGAAAGGAAATTAATTTTAGGTTATGGTCCTGCAAACACTGGTCATTCATAACAGCCTGGGCATGTGGGATCTCAAAGAGCCACTGCAAGGACCATTGATCGGAGTGTTGGACAGCCTTCTCATGGAAACTGTGCTGTTTCATCTTGCAATCACATTTTATTGCTCATAGTCTGATCATGATTCCCTGGTTTGATACAAGATAGATTCTCCATGTACCCATGGTGACATAAAGTCCTAGGAGCTGGGGAAGCTCAAGGAAAATGGTTTCAGACAGGGAGGGGGTCTCAGGGTGACTATGCAGCCATGATTGCTGTAGGACTAATAGCATATTTCATGATCAAATTAGGTTTTATTATATTTAAAAGACTGAACTTTTTCAATAGTGTATTATCTTCCATTATGTTATATCAATTGCACACAATATCTGTTCCCTTTGTCTTACATAAAAATCTTCATACTGCACAACCTGAGGGGGTAAAACCTTGTCTTAAGAAGCATTTCACTCATTCCCAATCAGGGGGGGGGGAATCCAGTGGTCCCCAAAATTTCCACTGAAAAACTTGTAGAAAATAGTCCTTGGGCAAAAACAAGGAAGGTGTCCTCTCCAGCTCACATCTCTGAGGACCAAACTAGATAAGATGTCATCCCTAGGGACCTGCAGCTGATATAAAGAGTGAGTTCCTAGAGAGGAACTCCTTAACATTGCCAAATGGACCCTGTTCTGATCAGGACCACCACAGTGTGGAGGGATGAGGGGATTCTTCTTGTGCCCCAGGGCAGGGCTCCCCCCTCCCCAGACTTGAAATGGACCCAGGAGGCATGCAGGCAATGTCCCAGCTCTAGTTCCAAGTGGGAAAGTGTGGGAGAGGTAGGGTCCCATCCTCACTCCAGATGTCAGTGGTCCTTACCAGAATTGAGCCTCTGCAGAACAGTGTAAAGAAGTTTCTAGTTGGGAACTAAGTATTTAAAATGGCAGTGCCTCTCTGGGGTGAATCCAGGGATGCCTGCCTGCCTTTGTCTAGTTTGGCCCTGAGTCTGACTCCGTATAAGGCAGCTGCATGTGTCCCCATGTAGTGTGTAGCTGGACCCTATGCCAGTTTTGTGTCAGACAACATATTCCTTGTTTTCTTCCCGAGTTTTCATCCTTTTGTCATTTGTCCAGTGCAAGAGCATAATAAGGTGTCATTTATTTAAAAAAGAAGAAAACACTTTAAAAGAAGACACATGGTTGATGATGCTGTGGGGTTAAACAAGCAATTAACTGTGTAATCCCAGTATGTTTTGTGTTGGAACTTCACACCCTGGCTAAAGACAACATATATCTATATATATTTTTCTCTCTCTTTCAGATCTGCCTTGACTGAAGCGTGACATAAAATGTTACAGCAGCTTTGTTTCTCAAAATGGTTAGCAATAGGGATTGCAGTTTCTGTTGTCTTCATGGATTGTTTGGCCCAGAATGATGATGGTAAGTCTGTTGTTATGCGCTACCTAATTTTGCCAAAAGTCATGCAAGAAAGGGGAGAAAAAAGTCTATCCGAACTGCTGTGAATTCACAAAGCAGTATTCCTACCTCCTAGGCTAATCCCTGGGCTAATATCTCCCTTGACTAGGATGCTATGCCAAAAGTACAGCCTGGCTACTAGCTCTGGGATGATGCTGGAAATCTTGACTTTTTAGACATATAAGTTGAATCCAGAGAATGATTACAGATCAGTTAGCAAACTGGTATATGCCAATGTTTACAAAAAAAAAAACCTTTCACATGTGAGGTTTGTCATCTGGGGAAGAATAAACTTAAAATATTCACAATGTCAGTATTGCTTTGTGGGCAAATCTAGATGCAACTTCTTTTCAGGCTAGTAAAGTTTGGGCTATTCCCATTATTGGGAATAATGGTTGTTTCTGGTTGGCTGGAGGTTTAGTTGCTCTGAGATTCACGGAGGCTTGTCCAGATGTACAGAGTATTACAGGGCAGTATTAATGGGTTGGCTCTTGCAGTTTAATTCTTTTAGTAGAGGTGCCTTGAGCCTCTTGCATCAGGGAGGGCTCCATCCGCTGGTTCAGAGTGCTTCCACTTGTGGCTATACAGCCCAATGACAAAATAAATTACCTTAAAAAATCTATTTGAATTTACACATAAAAATTATTATTGTTGAATTATTATACTGTTATGACCCATATATGGTTTTAAAATTAAAACAAAATAAAATATTATATGTTATAAGACCGAAAAGCATAACAACAGAACAGGCGATTCAGAACATGTCCTTCTACTAATCACAAAAAAAGGAGAAATTACAGTTTGGAACATATTAGTCTACAAATGACAACATATATACCTATAGTGTTATTTAACTCGTGGTATTTCATCCAATATCTCACAAGGGAATTCTAATCTGAGAACTCTGCTCACCTGCCCCAAACACAAGTCTATCTTCTGATTTAAAAGAAAAGAAAAGAAAAACTCTCTAAAGAACATATTTGGCTTGAAACCCATCCTTACTGTTTATTAGATATTGAGTTGCATCCAGTGAACAGAATGAGTGGACGGAATGGATTTCTGCCCAGCAGTCTTAAAACGTTGTTTCCAATGGCTGGGGATTCATCAGGGCAAACGGTTCTCCGGTATGTGGCAAAAGCTTCTCCAGTAAGAAAGGATAATCAGCAGACCTTAGCTTGCTCTTGCTCCACTTATGGAGGAGCTTATGTAAGAGTGCTTTCTGCTGGCTTGTCCTCAGGAAGCAACCTACTGCATTGCATCACACTCCACTGAGACTCTGCTGACCCCCATGGCAGGGCTATTTTTGGGCAGGAACGCACAGGAACGGAGTTCCGGCTGGCTCCTGAGTTGGCCACGCCCAGCAGGAACTCATTAGGATAATAGGCCACACCCAACAGCAGAAACTCATTAGGATTGGCTACATTAGGGGTGTGTGGCCTAACATGCAAAGGAGTTCCTGCTACAAAAAAAGGCCCTGGGTTTTGACAACAAACAAGGTAAACAGAATAACAAGCAAAAGGTGGGTGTGGCTGGATAACCACACTTCTGGTAACATGTGGGTGCGGCCTAATGTGCTAATGAGCTGTGCTGTCAGGGGTGTGACCCAATATGCTAATGAGTTCCTGCTGTTGGTGTGGCCTATTATGTTAATGAGTTCCTGCTGGGCTTTTTCTACAAAAAGAGCCCTGGTAGGGATGAGTATCTAACTTGTTTAACAAACCCGGGGCAATGAAGAGCATATATGTTAGTAAGGTTTAATGTGTTGCCATCAGCAGTATTATATGGGAGATTCCAAAAAAAACCCCATTCAACAGTAGATTGTGTTCCTGCACTAAGCAGGAGATAGAAACTCATCAACATGTGTTTCTTTCATGTACTTTCTACTTGGACCTGCGCCTTACATTCATTGAGCCATGGTTGAGAAAGTATTCAGGGAAACCTGATAAATGTAAGATTTCCTTTTTGCTGACAACCCAAAATCACGTAATAATTGAAAGTGTTGCAAAATTTCTGTATGAAGCTTCGAGAAGGCATGCAGTATTCCTTGCAAATTGAGTCATATGGTCTGTATGTTATGCCAATAAAGGTCGATCAATTGATTGATTGCTGACTCCCAGCCACAGCTACTAAGAGGTTCTGGGGGGGGGGAAGGGAGAGCCATTCCTTATACAGTTCATTGGATCCAACATATTGAGATGCACTACTTAGAATATTTAATTGTTGTGCATGTCTAGATGGGTCCATTTTTTTCATCAGATGCTCTGATAAACTTTCTCCTTGGTGGCATTTTATGTTCTTTTGTTGACCATGTAGACCAATGGTTCTAGGAATGCTACTTAACCCCCAAATGACCAAGTCAACAGATTCATCTGGGGTTTTGATATTGATGGTATCGGTTTATGCATATTTGTTCTATTTCAATTATTGATGTGGTATATACTTTTGTAATGAAGCTGTCATTCACTAGCCTGTAGAATAAATGAAACAATGGGCTACTCACAACTTGAAGGTTTTTTGATCTAACACTTCCTGAGACATCAAAGTTTGAATTTGTCACTTATTATCCTAAGCGTTAGGGTAAGCCATTGCACAAGTTGAGTGAATTCTTCATTTCAGAATTTCAAATAAGGTGCAATTTAATGACTGAATGTAGGATAATCAGGGGTCTTGTTGTAGAAAAAGAGCTGCCGGAGCTCATTAGCATAACTCATTAGCATAACTTATTTGCATATGCCACGCCCCCTGACATCACCGGAAGTGACAGAAGGCCACACCCCCTGACATCACCGGAAGTGTGTCAGAAGGCCCGGCTACTTACCCTCCTGCTTCATCCTCATTCCCAAACGGAATGAGGATCGAAGCAGAGGGCGGGGTAAAGAAGAGGGCGGGGCTTCACCACGTGACCGCCCCGCCCCCTAGAGGTTCTCTTCCGGAGCTCCGTACCTGAGAGCTCCCCCCCGACTAGAGCCCTGCAGATAATATGAATTACCATTTTGTTTAATTTGCAAGCTTGCAGGATACAGAATTAGTAATCTCAAGTTAATGGCTTGTACTATTAAGTATGGTAGGAAATTTTGGCTTTCTGTTTGTGAGAAAAGAAATCCTGATTGCATTTATATAAGTGCCAAGCCAAGAGTAGTTGAGTGGGATGTATTCCAGATTTCTAGTTCCTTCAGCTTGCTTTCAGTACCTGAAAGACACTGGTCTGAGAACCAAAACAGAAAGACACAATTTGATCCATGTATAGAGTCATTCTTAACCACATGTAGCAGCTTTGAAGTTCCAGGGAAATTGCTGAATGAGAGATTGTCTGTTTCTCCCATGCCTATTCCATGATTCAAAACTTCCCTCTGAACTTGCAGTTTGCTCTGGGCAAGACAGTTTTGGATGCATCTTTCACATCTTGTTGGGTTTGTCCAGGACCATACTAAGAGGTTCATGTGTAAACTGTTACAGGTAGTTATAGTTCATAGAGTCTATTCCTCAGAGCCAAGGGCAAAAACTGTAAGCTACCTGTTTGTTCAGGGCCACTTAAAGACCAAGTTGTGCTGTAGAAGAAGACCATCTTTTCTTTTCCCTTCCATTTTGAATATTTGCTGCCCATGTCCTGACTTCAGTGTTTTATTTTTACAGTATCAATGATATCACAGGTACTTGTCTTGTATGCAGCTTGTTGAATGTGTTTTTGAATGAGAACTGAAGTTGTGCGATACATTAAACCTCAACCATTAAAGCAACACTGGCCATACAGATTGATCTTGCCAGCTTTACAGTTTAAGGTGAACTGTTTTACTGCTTGATTTCCCCTGTTGATTGGATAGTTGGATATATCACCTGTGACAGGTGAACCCTTTCCCAAGCCTGGCACCCCAAGTAGCCATCTGCTTATAATCTGACCCAGTGGTTGCTGCTCTTATGTTTATGTCTCTAAGGGGGGGGGGGGATAATTTGGTTTTAGGAAGCTAATCTTCATTCAGAAGTGCTGTAAATTCTTCAAGAGTTCTACATCAGAGTGTGTGTGTTTTTAAACCACTTTTTTCTCTGTTTCCCCCTCAAGCTGTGACTTCAGTATAGACCATCCTGCAGTCATTTCTAAAATAGCAGCAAATAAGCAGCACCATGTCCCCCACAGCCATCTTGCCTTCCTACTTGTAAAAGTTTTGTAAGCAGTTTCAGTTCTTGCCAAATTCACTCTGAAAGACTGAGAGAACAATCCCAGCAGAAGATCATTGCAGTGATACTATGTTTATAATTGATATTTTATTGCATTTTCTCAAAAAAACCCAAGATGGGACAATAGTACAATAACAAAGATACATCGATAATCCATAAATTAACTAGAATATATAATGCTAATATAGAAATATATAATACACAGTGAGTAGCCGCCCTGAGCCTGCCTCAGCATGGAGGGTGGGGTATAAAGCAGACAGACAGATTAAATTTCCCCTGTTTTCCTTTTCTCCATTTTAAACCATATACTCAAGGTACCTAAATATCTTTCAAAATTACCACAAACAGAGAGTATCGTTTACAGCAGGAACATCAGCATGTTCTGTTAGGTAATCCATAATAGGGAACCAAATTGCCACAAAGTTAGATGAAGATGATTTTGACCATGATATAAAGGTCCCATAACTTTTTGTGCCAGAGCAACATTTAAAGAAAACATAGAAGTGGGGGAAGACTCTCTCTAGCCCTTAATGGAACAGAGGAGTGAAAGCTGTACTGTAGGAAAGACAGTGCTATGATTTCCACTCAAGCAAGGTGTTGAAATGAGCAATTGCGGATTCCTAGACAAACTTCTGACAGTTGCTGAATTATATACATCAAGCCGGGTAAGAACAAAGTGGAGCAAGGAGATTGCCTGGTTTCTTCTCCCCACACCAACCTGTGCCTCTGCTCCCCCTGCCCATGGCAGCCCTGGATGTCACCTTAAATACACCTCAAACTGGGACAATTTT